AGCCAGGTTCCCCCCACACCATGGGAACCCGCCCCCGCCTGCCAGAGCCCTGGAGGTTTGTTGTGTGCTCACTGGCGTGGACCTAGGCGCCACGGTGGTGCGTGAGAGAAGGGAGACACAGAGGGGCCACGGGAAGTAAGCAGACCCCAGAGGGAAACGAAGCTGGTGCGGCTCACAGGGGCGCGTCGGCGTAGGGGCAGTGAGCTTGTGCACCTGGTGGTGGCTAAGCCGGCGGCGGTATGAAGGATGGGAGGAAGCCATGCCCGTGAGTCTTGCATGTGGGAATTGTTGAGGGGCCAATGTTTGGGCATGTATAATTCCAACCCACACTCAGAGAAAGAGGAGAGGAGAGGAGAACAGGAACTGGGACCCCAGGGGGGGTGGGGCTCAACTTCTGGAAGGGGAAAATATAAACAACCCCAAACCAACTCACAGCGACCCACAGGACAGGGTGGGGCTGCCCCTGTGGGTTTCTGAGAAGGTCACTCTAGGGGAGCAGAGAGCCTGCTGACCCGGCAGTTACCAGCCCCAGCTTGGCGGCCCTGATGTTATGCTCACGGTGGGGCAGGGGCTGGACAAGTGTCTCCCGGACAGGTTGGAGAAGGACCTCAAATTGGGTGAAGGGGAACCTCTAATGACCCCTGCCTCAGCAACCCTGTGGGAAACCCACCAGGGCATCCCAGACAGTCGCTCTTTTAAAACAATTGTGTTGGCACTTAATCCACACATCACACAATTCAAATTGTTCAGTCCTCTCAAGAAGAGTTGTACAACCATTACCACCATCGATTTTAGAATGCTTCCTGCGCCCACCCTGCCCCCAGAGTGAAATCACTTTTACAATGAACTTTGTTCTAGTGCTCCCTCCCCCCTCCCACAGACACTGTCTGTGCCCCCTGCCTCCTCCCACTCCTGTCTCCCACCTCTCACCCCCTACCTCCTCTATCGACCCTTCTTATCTGTAGGCATCTACTCCTGCGCTTCCAAGAGAAACAATAAAAAACCAGAAGGAAACAAAGTGGCAAGGATGAAGTAATAATAATACAAAGAGTGAGGAAGAGAGGAGACCATCCTGATAGTTAGAAGAGTAAACAGCAGTTTCGAACTGCTGACCTCTCCGCTAACAACGCGGCCTATCCTGGCACATGGCCGGCCGGGGCTCCTTTGATGAGGCGGGAGGGGGCACAGAAGAGGAAGGCCCTGAATGAGATGGTGTACACCGTGGCTGTCACCATGGCGATGTGTGTGTGTGTGGGGGTGCGTAGTTCTGCTGTGCACAGGGTCACCGGCAGTCAGAACTGACGGGCGGCACCTGACAGGAACAGGACACCCCCCCGAAAGACCTCACTGATGTCCCGGTGGGTCCGTGCAGAAGCTGTGGGCACGGGCATGCTCTGCCACGTCTTCTTGCCCCCGCCCTAACACCGGAAACAAGGGCTGGCCAGGGGTCAGACTCCAAACCAGCACTTTGCAAAGATCACTCAGGGTGAGCTGGTGACGCCAGTGGCCCAGGTTCCCTGGGTTTACGGAGCCCTCGTGGTGCAGCAGGAGCCCTGGGCACGCGCCGTTCGGTTGTGGATCGGGCTGCTAACCCCAGGTCGGCAGTTCAAAACATCAGCTGCTCCACGGGGGAAGGATGAGGTTTTCTACTCCCACAACGGGTGGTCACCTCAGAAACCCACGGCAGGCAGTCCCACCCTGTCCTCTCGGCTCGCTGCGAGTCGACATTGACCACGCAGGGAGTGTGTTCCTGTTTTCCTGAGTGGTGCAGTGGCTAACCGGAAGGTCCGTGGTTCGAACCCACCAGCCCCTCCAGGGGAGACAGAGCAGGAGGCCTGCTTCCATGCAGACCGCAGCCTTGGACACCTGCCGGGCTGCTTCCTATCGGGTCGCTATGAGTCGGCATCCCCGTGACGGCAGAGAATGGAGTTGCCAAGGCCTGGCATGGCAGACTTGATACATATTATTGTTGGGAGACCCCTGGGTCTATTCAACCTGTTTCCCCATCTGTGAAACGGGGATGCCGACTCATAGCGACCCGATAGGGAGGGCAGAGTAGATGTGCCCCTGTATCTTTCCTGGACTTTAGTGTTTACAGGAGCACAGAGCCTGGTGGGTTTGAACCGCCGACCTTGCTGTTGGCAGACGGGCGCATAGCCCACGACCAGGGCTCCTGTCCTCTCGAGTCTCCAGTTGTGAAGTTATCCTTCGCAAAGAGCTCTCGGTGGCCAGACCGAGGACAGAGCTGAAGGTCACAGCACACGCAGGCCTCTGCTTCCAGGACCGGTTTCCACCCTGAGCTGCTTGGCGCCTTTCCTGTCTCTAAAGAGCCTGCTGAAGAGGCGGATGCTCCTTCGGGGCAAGGAAGGCGAGACTTCCTCTCACACAGGAACTCGAACCTGCTCGGTAAAGTGGAGACGCAGTGGGAAGAGAGAAATCCCCTCAAAGAGCTGGAGGGACAAAGTGGCTGTCACCCTGAGCCCAAACATTAGGACTGTGAGGAGGGAAAGGGACCGGTGGGTGTTGTGTCCTGGGGTACATGGACGGGGTCACTATGAGCAGGAGCCGGCTCAGGGGCACCGGACGAGAACAGCCCGGAGTCCGCTGGGCCCTGGATTACAAAAGGATGTGTCAAAACAGACCCCGCATCGCGGCAGGACCGTCTGTACACAAACCTCGGGCTGGCCAGCCAGACAAAGGGACAACCAGTCCCTGCCTCTGCTGAGTGGCCACTGCCGAGTCCAGGGCACAGTGAACGAAACGGTCCAAGCTCCGCAGAGACCCGGAAACCTAAAGCTTCATCAGGCTCTTGGGTCCCATCCTGAAACTTCAACAGGTAACAGGTGCCCCCAGATCACCAGAATCCTGGAAGGCGGCATGACCCGAGAAGGTAGGTCAAGGGGGAGGGCTCTCCTTTGGGTTTGGATTATAGCAATCAGAAACCCAACAATGCCTTGATGGGGCCAATCTGCTGTCTGATGAGACGTGAGAGATGTGCTCCAAACACAGATGTCTCCTTGAGGACTGAGGTGCCCGAGCCAGGCCCTGGCATTGTGCAGCATGAGCGAGTGGGCAAAGGGACATGGAAGGCCTGATGTACCTGAAGCCCCACAGGCTGCCAGAAGGAAGAACAGATCTGTCTTAGATGATGCAAGGCCAGAAGGCTCCTTAGAAGCAAGGATGGCGAGACTTGGCATCAAGTACTGTGGACGTGTGATCTGGAGGGGATCGGCCCCCATCCGGAGGAGGGCATCATGCTTGGCAAAGCAGAGGGGCACCGAAGAAGAGGAAGGCCTTCTGGAGGTGGGGTGTCCCAGGAGTTGCCACAGCGGCTCAAGCACAACCGTAGTGAGTGGGCGCAGGGCTGGGCGACATTTCGTTCATCGGACAGCGTCCACTTGAGGGCCGCTCACGGCCACACCACAGCTCTCCCACTGCCCTCGGGCTGATGCCAACTCACAGCAACCTGACAAGGGGCAAATCTGCCCCTGCATGTTTCCCAGGCTGTAACTGTTCACGGGACGGATGAGAAAATCCTGCTTTTCTCCCTGGGAGCTTCCAGTGGCTTCTTTGAACTGCCAAATCCGCGGCTCTCGGCCCAGCGTCACTACCCCAGATCTGCTTGTCCAGAAACACGGCAGAGTTCTCTGCTAGCTCTTTGATCTCAATGGAATCAGGGTGTGTGTGGGAGGGGCAAATGATTGAGCTCTTGTCTGTTCGTCGAAGATGGTTCAAGCCACTCCCTCAGCCCCTCGAACGCACTTAGGAAGAAAGGCCGGGTGGTGGACTTATGAAGACCTATGGAGGGACGCTGGTTCCCACAGGGTCGCTGTGAGCAGGCATCCACGTAAGGCCAAGGGGGAAGACCTTCTTCTGCCACTAGGCTACTCATAGCATTGATCTCAGGCCCTCCTGCCCTCCTGCCCAACCATCCAATGAACTAGCCCCTAAGGTTACACATCGGGCTGCTAACCTCAAGGTCCGTGGTTCAAAACCACCAGCTGCTCCTTGGGAGACAGACAGGGCTTTCTACTCCCATAAAGAGTCTCAGGTGGAAACTCACAGGGGCGGTTCTTCCCTGTTCTCTACGGTCACCCGGAGTCGGCACGGACCCGCTGGCAGGGTGCTTGGTTTTGATTGTTTAATGTGATGGTTGAAATTGCCTCTTTGGTGAGGCGTGAGCTGTGGGCTGGTGTTGATTATACAGCCCACGGGCCGGATGTTCCTCACCGCTGGTTTTAAGTAAGGGCAGGTGTTCTTTGCTCCCTGCCTAGCCAAGACATGCCGGGTCTTACTCCCCCCTTTCACGGTGGGTCTTGGGACACCCGGAGTGACCTTGCTTGCTGAGAACATCCTCCCACTTGACGTATCTCAGAGGCTCCTGGTTCATCTACACAGTGGCGGCACTGTCCACTGGTCCTAAGGGGGTGGGGGGCGGGGAAGAGGGTGTCCAGAGTGTCTGCTGGCATGACCATACAGCAGAAAGGCCGTGGGGGCAGGCAGGAGACGCCCACTGTTGCAGGACTGCGAGGACGTGTGGTGAGAGGCAGCGCATGCCTCTGGGGAGGATTCTCAGGCGTGGCTAGGATGGTATCCTTTCAGCCTCTCAGAGAACCAAGATCCTCGGGGACCAGCCGTTCCTACCTCCTCATTTCAAAGATGGGGAAACTGAGGCTCAGAGAAGGGCCAAGGCCACCCAGGAGGGCACCCTAGAGGGCTGTGCCCTCCCCTTGCTGATAGGGCAAAGGTTCCCAGGGGAGGAAGTGACCAGAGCGGAAATGGCGTGACCCCAAGGCCATTGTTGTGGGGGTCAGTTTCTCCCAAGAGCAGATGTAGCCTGGGCAACAAGGGCGGGGGCTGGCATGTGCTCCTGGTGCCTCTGGGAGGTCCTGTCTGCCTCCCCTACAAGAAGGCGTGCTCCCCACTCCTCTGAGGCCGGGCTCCCCGCTCCAGCCCCCAGCCCCCCTCACCCCCTGCACCCCGAGGCAGGAGCCACTCACGTCCTCATCACACTCCAGCTCCAGGCCGGCCTCCAGGAGGTTGCCCTCGTACTCCTCCCTGCGGAACCGCTTGTCGTCCTCCTGGTAGTCCAGGGGGTGCTCCACCGGGGACCCCTTCCCCGGCAGGGGCTGGTCCTGCTTGACGCTACGGGCTGCCGGGGACGCATCGCTGTGCTGGACCCGCCTGGCCAGAGTCCTGCTGCCCGAGGGGCGCTTGTGGTGGTACACCAGGATGTAGTCCACCTTCCGCTTGCCATCCCGGAAGTACAGGCCGTACTTGCACTTTGCATCAGGGTCCACCGACAGGGAGTTCAACAGCTACGTGGGGAGAAGGGGAAGCCCACCCATCAGCAGGCTGCTGGAGAAGGGTTTTTAAGGAGCACCTTTCAGACAGAACGGTTACATCCATCCTTCCATCCACCCATCCATTCATCCCTCTATCCATCCACCCATCCTTCCTTCTATCCACCCATCCTTCTATCCTTCTTTCCATCCACCCATAACCCTCTATCCTTCCATCCATCCACCCTTCCTTCCATCCACCCATCCATCCTTCCATCCATCCACCCTTCCTTCCATCCACCCATCCATCCTTCCATCCACCCATCCCTCTTTTCATCCATCCATCCATCCTTCCATGCAGCTATCCATGCTTCCATCCACTCTTCTTCTATTCATCTTCCCATCCCTCCACCCACCATTTCCCTTCCATCATTTAACCATCCAACTATCCACTCATTCATTCATTCACACATTTACTCATTCATTCATTTGCTCACTCATTCATGTTCTCCGTCCCTCCATCCCTCTCTCCCTCCCTTCCTCCCTTCCTCACCATTCACTCACTTGGTCATTCATCGAACAAATACTGAATGCCTACGACCAGTCAGGCACTCTCCTAGGGCCTGAAACACAGCCTAAGACAGAGCCAGGCCCTGCCTTCCCAGAGCAGAATTCCAGAAGGAGACACTGGCTGCTCATCAGGCCAGGGGCTGCCAACGGGACACTAACTAGCCCGGTGTTTGTGAGCACTGCAGAGTCACCACCCCCCACCCCACCCCCGGGAGCTTTCCCTGCGCGGGGCCAGGGCTTCTGTGGAAGAGGGCAAGCTGAGGTCCTGCCTGCAGACCTCCCGCAAGCCTGCACCCAACGCTCTCTCATGTCACCGTGACCCACAGGGTGTGCCACGGCTGCTTCCCGGTTCTGGCTCTACCCCCATCTAGCTGTTTGGTCGGAGGCCGGGGGACTCTGGGAGTCCTCACTCAGGGCCCCCAAAGCTGCTAAGCTGGCCCCCAGCAAGAGGGTCCCTCTCTTGTAGGAAGGAAGTAGGACCTGGAATCTTTCACCCTGGTCTGAGGCTGGGCAGAGCCATGCCCCTGCCTGCCAACTTATCTGGCCCTGAGAGGTACCCTTGGGGGACTTGGGCATGGCTAATAGCTTGGGGCGGGGTGGGGTGGGGTGGGGGGCATGGTTCACGACGGAGGTGGCAGGAGGCTGTCATGAGGAATGGGTAGCCATCTAATTCAGACGGGCCATCAGGGAGATCCAGGCTGAGTGTGGGCTCTGCCTGGCCCTCGTCAAAGGCCTTGCTCTCACCAGTGGAGACTTCTGGTGCTCACAGGCCAGGTGAGCAAGCGAGGCCAGGTGAGCAAGAGCTGGTGAGAAGAGCTGGCTTTGGAGCCCCATGGGAGCCTGCTCCCCCAGCCCAGAAGTTGGGATGAGGATAGAATGTGGCAGGCCTGTGATCAAGCTGTCGGAGAGGTGACCCCGGTGCTCTTCTTTGTGGGGGGAAGCAGAGTCCAGTGAGGGGTGGCACCAGGCTGCAGAACAGGCTCCTGGTTGGGCCCAGCCTCCAGGCCCACCCTCATACTCAGGGCCCCCTACATCCAGCCACCCTGACCATAGGGCACATCACAAGCTCCCCCAAAGATGACTCTGAAAGTTGGGCGCTAGCAATTGGCTCACATTGCCCAGCAAGGAGGGGTGATCTTGAAGCCAAATCCCCATTGCTGACCCCACCTCTGTCACTAGAATGGACAAGGCTGGGAGGGGTAGTCATTTGGTTGGACCTCAGTTCTGTCTTGCTTGGCAGCTAGTGCAGGGCATCATGGGAGACCAGGCCAGTGGACAGCCTCATCCACGGAGACCAGAAGACCTAGAGGGTGCCCAGCTGCCCTGGTGGTACTGGAGAGAGTGGGAGAACACTGTGGAGTGATCTCAGATTCTTTAAAAAAGGTCCAGACTGCTTGAGCCCAGAGGATTTCCTGAGTTAGGATCCTGTGCCACTTTTGCTGTGAACAGAACCCCTCCCCTTAGCGCCTTCCAGTGGCATGCAGAATGGAGGTCGAGATCCCAAAGAAAGGTCACCTCCTCAAACAGTAAGGTGGTGGGGTGGGGTAGACGGATAGTGGAAGGGAAGCTTCTTCTCTGAAGCCAAGATACAAGAGAGGAGGCAGCGAGAAGAGAGAACCGGAAACAGAACCCGAAACCACAAGGAAGAGAATGTGGATACATTGTGGACACATTGTGGACACATTGTAGATACATTGTGACGAGCTGCACCTGTGTGTGGAAACTTGTGGGAACCTGCAGTGCCAGTGACTGAAGGAGGAGGGGGAGAAACAGGAGGAGGAGGAGGAAGGGAAGGAGG